TTTATTACTGGGCACAAAAGACTATTAAATAAATTCAGCAATGCATTTGGATTTTTTTTTTAAGTCCTACTTTCAAGTGAGATTGAAACCTTTATAGAAGTGATCTCAAAATATAGGTGCAACTTTTGATAACCTACCTCTAAACTCTTCTTATCATAATTTGCCATGACAGTGATGCATTGATGCCTGACACTAATATTGGTGGTAATTCCATTTTTAACCATGCTATCAGTTCCTGGAACAACCTGTGTAAAGGAGTCATTCACTTAATAACAAACTTCACTACTTCAAGATTATGTATAGAAATTGATCAGCTACAATGAAAATAATTTATAACTTACATTGAACTTTACAGGTGTTCCAAGTGCTGTGTTGCCAGAAGCACCCAGCACTGCAGTGAATTATATACAAAAGAGAAAAAATCTCCAGTTAAGAATCAAAAGAAAAACAAGACTGCTTTGGTTTTGCATTGTTACATTCTAGGATAAAGAGAGAAATTTGAATCACTCTCAAACCCAAACTTTTTCAAGCAATGTAGCTAATTAATTCACTGATTCCCTACCAGACAAAATTAAAAGTAACTAAGCCATTAAAAACCCTCTTGGAGTGATCATCCACAGTCACACTGTGTTAAGAACTACAACTTAAATTTAAAGTCTTCTTACACAAAAGTGATTGGCAGTCTGGTTGTACAAGCAAGGGAGGGTAATCCTGACTGACCCTCTTGTCCACACTGGAAACTGATATTTCAACAACCTGAGCTAAGTTGCTGACATCAGGGTCAAGTGAAGAGTTGTTATTAGTTGTGTAAGATGACTGGTCAGTCTAGTTGTGATGTTATTGGCTACGAGACTCAAGTGACACAAATCAATTGCAATATTTTCCAACAAGCACAAGCTTGTACTTTCAAGGGTCTTTGTGGATTTACACCAGTCATGAATGTACAAAGACAAAAGTGCATACCCTGAAACAGTGAAAGAATTGAGATACAAATACTATCATGTAACACTTGCATTTTAAATATCAAATAGTTTGTTAGTTTCACCTCCAAAGTTTGCTGTATTAGCTGCAGAAGTTTGCCCAAATAATGAGGAGCCAGCTTGCGTACTTCCAAACAATCCAGTACCCTTTGTAGCATTGGACCCAAACAAACTGGAGCCTAATGACAAAAAAACGACAACCCAAAAAAAACAAATAAGGACAAAGAAAATTGACGACAAAATACATTTAGCAATGTTATAAAAACAGCATAAGAAACTGGCCAAGTGACCTAAAACTTGATTGGGAAACATGACGTCATATTGCCATCTAATAATCAGCTGGATTTATCCTTTTCTTCCTGAGATCTGATCTAAAATCATTCTTCAGAGATTCTACATACTATGGGCATTAAGCTCAATTAATGACCTGCTGAGGATCCAAATCCTGATGTTGCAGTGGAACCAAAAGTTGTTTGGCCACCTGTGTTGAAAACACTTGTCCCTGCAGTAGTTTTTGCTGTACTACCAAACAAACCACCTCCAGTAGTTCCAAAACCACCAAAGGAGGCTGCAAAAGTTTCAACAGGAGAAATAATTCCATTTATATAATAAACTGCATCATGCATTCATTTTGATGACTTCTTACTTCTGGTCTATTAATAACTCCCAGATCAAATTTAAAATTCTCCTTACAGTGAACCATTCAATTCTTATAATGTTAGTTGAGAGAATTTAGTTCTGGATCAACTAATTATCCCCAAATTGATATTTTTCTTTGTTCTCATCACTTATCTGGTTGATATTGTATTGATACTGTATGGAGAAATTCTCTCACTCGTGGGAGTTAAAGTGTTAAAGAACAGAAACAGGGATCCCATCACCATTAAAAAAATTTTACTTCTTAATTACATAAAACAAATATATTTTGTGTTGCTGTGGGTTTGTTCAGTAGTGAATCACAGAAAATGTCAGAATAGGGTAAGAACAAAATATGGACAATAATTATTGGCTGCGCCTTGTGTGCAACTCTTTCGTTGTATAGGTGAACTGTGTTTGTTGGTCATGTATATACCTTGATCATTTGTCTTGCTTTGATATGAATTTCAGGGGTCATATTAATTACTTTGTTTGTCAACACAAGGTTGTTCACCAAATAAGACTGTGGCAAAGTGATGTCTGATGACCGATATCATAGATTTAAGCTAAATTGCACTAAGAATAGCCTAGTTTAAACTCACATTGACTAGTGGGTTGTTGTTGCCCAAAGATATTTCCAGTGGTAGTTCCAGTTCCTCCAAATATACTTCCAGTATTTGTGCCTCCAAACAATGTTGAGGTCCCTGAGGCCTGGGGCTGAGTAAATGTACTTCCAAAGCCCAGTGGTTTTTGGTTGTTTCCAAAAAGACCAGTACCTGTATAAAAATGATACAACAGTATTACACAGAGTAAAAAGTTTAAAAAATAGAACACCTACTATGTAGCAAAAAAGTTTTGCAGGTTTTTGAACTGCAACAAATTTGATTCTATACAACAGAACAAAGAAAGTTCCAACCTGCAAAATCATACTCTTATGAACCTCTCAGGCCAAACAGTAGTAGCAATATATATAACTCAAGTTCTTAAAAAAAACTCAGTTATTGAATAAGAATTACAGAAACTGGATAAAGTTTGACCACAAAATATGTTCATATCCATGCAAATAATCACAGAAAGAGTGGATGACATTTAATTAACTCACTGTATAGGCCAAATAATTATTGTTTCAAAAAAGCACATCATAATCTGATAAAACTTGATATAAAATTGAAGATCAGAATAACACCATTAACCCATTGCATGTGCATTTCAAGACTAACCTCCACCTGCACCAAACTGTGCTGTACTAGTCTGGCCTCCAAAAGCTGTAAAAATTAAGGTATTATAACATTAACACTTTACACCTGACATCTCCTAAGGATAATTTGTTTCACAATAATGAGCTTTAGTTGGTGATCATTTCCTTCATTCTCATGAGCTTGTTGTTTGAATCACCAGTAATACTTAAAGGAAAAATTACAACCAATGGGCCCCAGGCTTTCTCTTTAAGAAGGTTGATTTAATTAAATGTATGGCCTTCCACTGTTAGCTTTTGACCTTCTTGACACTGTTCACAAAAATAAATGTACAAGTAAATGGCTTGGCTAAATTTAGGATGGTATAGGACACGGTTTTATCAAACAGCAGCTAATCTATGTATAAATAACTGGCCCCAAAGGTTTAAATCACTGTGTTTTGCCTTCTTAACCACATACCAAAACAGCTCAAAGGGAAACTTTTTCAAACAGTTTTGGTGTGGGCTATTAGAAAATGATCAACAATGTGAGTAAGGTTACTATCTAGGATGGCAAATAAACTTTCAGTATCTTAACACATGCCATTGACAAAATAATAAAGCCTGAGAAGTTAAAACGCAAATTATTCTGGGATTTTAAGAGAAAATAAGTCTGACATCGATAACCAAAACCTTAGAGAGCTGAAAGTTCCATTCAGAACGGATCTATTTTCAAAAACCTTGTTTAGCTCACAATAAACTATATCGAAAACAAGGTTGAAAAACTGACATACATGTACAGTTACACTTCCATCGATCTGAACAAATAATATCATTATAGATTACACATAGGGCAAAATAATTTCATACTTGTCCCTGTTCCAAAGGTACTGCCGGTACCAAAAGGTGTACTACTTGTAGATCCAAACATTTCTAAGGGTCTCGACTGCAATCTGAGGCAGCAGAAAACAAGAAAACAATCTATATATCAGACGACTTCCACGTGTGGTAACTATACTGCAATATGTCAACCCTTCAGATGTTGATATCCACTCAGAAATCCACGAAAACAAACAATATTCCGAAGCAAGGTTTTTTCGATTGTGTATATCTTCAATCCATAACAGTACTTATACCGGAGCTGATGTATTTTAGGAATATTACCAACGCTGTTAGGCGGAAAACAACAAGCGTTCTGAACTGCGATCGTTCTGCAACCCGCCAAGGCATATCCCGAAATGCACTATGAGCATTATAGGCCTAAGTACTAAAACATAGAATGACCTAAAACCACCTAAAACCACTTACTA